TTCAATTTGTTAACATTGATCTTTTGCTACGTCGCAGCTACGCCGTAGCGGGTGCTACGTAGAATTTTAAATTGAATAAATGATAGATACGCTTCATTCATGATTCAGACGTCGATTTTCAACGGTAACAGCTAGCCTATTTATATTTATACATATCTATCTATAAAAATACTAAAAACGTTACTTGTACAAATAGATTTGAACTAAAAATAACTGCGATTAAAAATTATGATAGAAAAAGTAGAAGTTACTCAAAAATATAACGCATATGAGAAAATATCCCTTAATAGAAAATAATATATTAAACTTTGAATTCTTTCATAGAACACATTTCTAATAATACCTACAAAAATTGTTGAACACTCGACCAAGTTCTTTATCAGACATTTTATCAGGCACTATCTGTAGTTTCACTATCCAAACGATAGGCAGTACTAGGCTAGCAGAACTATTAATAATACTAACCCATTTAGTATATTGTCATAGTACTGTACTCAATTGTACGGACAACAGAACATCACACAAAATGAAATTACGCGGCTTTCATCAACTCTTTCATTACATAATGATATTTATTCACATCTACTTTAGTCTGTCTCATTTCTAATTTATGATACATTGTATAAAATTACGCATATGAATGTAGTTTTGTACAAAAATCGTCAAGACCAAAAATTTATTCATGTTTATAAAGGTTTTGAGCCATCTCATACCTGATTAAAAAATTGATGTTTTTGGCTGACTTCTAAAGGTGTTATTGAAGTATAGCTACCTTGAACACAGATTCCAAAGAGAAAATGTAATTTTTTATAAGTTTAATCAAATAAAATTGCAACAGAAATTATTGTTTCATTATTCGAAAGCTTTCTCTAACTGTTCACAAAAATTTTAACGCAGAACAATGTATGAACATATGAAAATGAAATAAACATGTGACCTCAGAAATAGAGCATATCAATAGATTAACTCGAGTAGTTACTTAAAAACTTAGTACAAAATCAAGAAACAGAACATTTCCCACGACCGCCTTTCGCGCTTCATGCAATATTCAAAACTTTTCCAATAGAGTTACAATGATGGACGATGTGTCATGTGTAGTCGATAAACTAGTGAAAAAGATAATGATTTCATAGAAAAGTTATAGTTACCACGAGTTTTATGTTATTTTTTATTGATATTTTCTTAGTATTTATTTTAGATTTTCGTGTTGTGTGCGGGGGGGCGGTGGGTTTATACTGCGTCAGGAGCGAGACGCGCGAACCGCCAGCGACGCAGAACGCGACTGACCGTAGCGCGGCGCCTCTGCCTCATCACACTGCCGCACTGGTTCCTAACTTCGCTTATGTAAGCTTCTTGTATACGCTGCCGACCAACTTTCCATGAGCCACAAGTTTCCCATGATTAACATGAAATCAAGTATACGTGTGTCAGTGTAATACTGCTACCAACGAAGATTAATGGTCAGTGCTCATATTTGTTATGGTAAGCGTAGTTGTTACAGCTCTTGGATTAAATATGACAAATTATTGTAAAAAGGATAGGTACACTACTCTCAAATGACAATTAATTCTGTATTTAGCAGATAAATTTCACTATAAACTAGCTAGGTAACCAACGCTTACTAATGTGGTATTTCACAACGTACCAACAATGATAAGTTTTCCTTTGTTAAACTTAAGATAACTTTCCTTCAAAGGCACGCTACGCAACCAACTTTAATATTCTAATTCTATGGACGTCTAGAAGACTAACTTCACAATTTGTCCTGTTTATCACATTCTATAAATCGCGCAGGGCTGATCCTGAAAAATTAAACCAAAGACTAAACTGATCTATTGATTCTTCTGCCAAGATCGACTTTTACTTTGGTTATTATCTTATCGCATTTTAATTCTTAGCTCTAATTTAACTATTTTAGATGTTTAGTGGTACTAAAGATAGTACTTTCATACTATCTTTCACTATGAACTTGGGCCACTTGATGGTAATGCTCATCGTGCAGAAAACGATTGCGCAATTAGATGATTTGAGTATTGGGAACTCTCGTCTCCCTCAGCCTCCCCCAATGACTTCCAGATAGGTCAGTTGGAAGCGACGAGCGACGACGGGAACTCTCACTTACCACAAATCTCTTAAAACCATACACAACGAATAAAGCAAAGGGGGTAAGACAGCAATTACTGTAAACTTATTTAAAAGGAGTTTGAGGATAATAGACACCCTGACATACCTCAAAACAAAGTTTTAATCTCTCCAATCTCCCTGGAGCTCTGACCCACACATCCCAAGCCTTAGTTGCAAAAACCTTAGGTGTAACACAAACGTACAGGTACGTACCTATATAACTAAACTCTTCCACAAAGCAAAAATTATAAAGTTTGAACAGGAAGTGGGAAAAAATAGATAAATAAGACGACAATCGTACAAAATTCAGTTGAATATAAAAATAAAAACTTAGCACTGGTCTTAAAATTTGACAACACCTAGGTACCGTTTTATACCGAGTTTGGCTGAAGGAAAACTGATGTTAGCGACGCGACGCAACAAAAACAACACTTTCTTTATTTGAAATTTACTTATAAATTATTAGTAGTAGCTATGTCAGCTATACATATATAGTTAAATTACATGTATAATTAAAAACATTGTGGCTATATGTTAAACTATTAGGTAATGGGCATGGCTAAACAAAATAAAATACACCGCAAATTAAGTTCCACTGGTCAGTCAAATATGTATACTAATAAATCTTTAACTTAAGTTATCTTCTTTATATATATAATTATTCTTCTGTGAGTGTGTATGTCACTGAACTTCTCTCAAACGACTGGACCGATTGTGATGAAATTTTTTGTGTGTGTTCAAGGGTATCTGGGAATGGTTTAGATTCACAAATCAGCCCGGCAAATGGCGCTGCTGTCGATGTTTAGGTTATTTATCCTACACAGCTGAACTAATTTGAATGAATTTTTGTTTATACATTCAAGTGGATATGCAGGACAACGTCTGTTGGGTCCTAAAGTTGAAAATCTATTTTCATCATTGCTAATGCCTGTATCTACTAACTCACCTCTAGTTGTTACGTGTCCTCTTTAGGCTCTTGCGTGATTTGTCACCGACTCATAACAAATTAATTTCAAATAAATAAGGCCTTCGCGTTAGTAAAATATTCGTTTCATATAGAGGTAAGTACTTATTTTATTAGCCTTTAGGTAGGTACCTTATCGTGTTCCATGGGCTAAACAAGAAAATAATATTCATCATGTTCATTATTCCATGACGTAGCATAATTAGGTCTAAATGTGCCTGGCTAGGCTATTATATTTGCTTGACGTTGTAGGTTGACTAATGTTTTTAGGACATTTTATTTTTACCCAATTGTATCTCTAAACCAACTAGGTAAGCTGATAAACACATTTTATTACTAGGTACATGGTTAGGCTACGTACCTAGAGCTCTCCAAATGTCTAAAATTAATACCTAAAACCAATACCAATATTTATAATTTATATTTATTTTTAGACTTGGGCGCATGATTTTAAGATAGACAATAGCTATAGCTAGACAGTGTAGCTTTTCAAAGTGAAAGTCATAGTTATTTCTTGCAAACATAGGTAATAAGTACCTACATAATACAGGATGAAGCATACATAATAATAATGCGCTATGTTTCGCCTGTCGGCATGCAATTAACAAAATGTCAGATTCAATTTTATTAATGAAAGCAACAATAATAACAATATATACCTCTACTATAATTAATAATGTCAAACAGAGAAGTCAATAAACACTACAATTATCAGTCTACAGTCACCTTACATTTATGTCAATGTCAATATTATTTCTCATATTCAATACTAAGTATATTATATTACATACATAGTAGGTGTGCGTTAATTATTTGCTATATGGATTTATCTTGTAGGTACTCACAAACACTATAATAGGCCTTGTTTAGCATTATATCTTTAATTTTGCGTTTAAATACGTTTCTTAATAATAATCTCCAATATGTGCTTTGGTAAGTGATTATAAATTCGTGATCCTATGCCGAATACACTTTTATTGTAAATCATTGCGCTTATGTATAGGACAATTGATTTCGTTAGTTTGACGCTTACTTTTAAAATTCTTATACATATTTTTCAGATTGACTTTTCAGATAAGTAGAGTGATAAGTAAGAGATATTATGAGTATTTTTCTGTTAAACCACTAAAATCATTTACTAAAGTTCAAATTCATTATTGCGAAGTGTAGATTTCATCATAATCTTATTTTTAATATTTTTATCTATCTAACTTCTATGCTTAGAATATATCTGTACAGAGGTCAATTCTGTACATGAAATAAGTATATTAATTTCCAAAATAACTATCAGGGGATGATTAGGGATCGATACTGATACCAAAAATACAATCAGTGATTTTACCTGTCTGTCTGTATAACTGTTATAGAAACCAAAAATTATTTTTGTGAAACGAGTGAATTTATTTCTGCAAATAGGTTATAAGGCAGCACTTTAACACGTCAATTTTATCAAGCGAACGATGAGGTCGACTATTCCGAACTGACAACTCTGAGAAGAAATGCCGAAACAAACTTAGAGGTTTCATAACAATATCCCTGAGCTGGTTATAGCAGGTATACTTTTCATTACGCTACAATCAATAGAAGCAGAGCACTGAAGGGAGATGTTGGAAAACGGTAGAAGTTACTCCATTTTTTAAGATTCCAAAGCAACACAGAAAACGTGGATGACGAAAATGTTCTGCTGAAAAAATGTATAAAAAGTGATATTTCTATCTTTTATGGTTGATTCACAATAATATGTGTAACTTCCGATCGCTTAGCAGTTCTAAACTTTCTAGTTATTCGGCGAGAGCGAACTCTCGCGTCCTGCTCTGTTTCAGACGGTTCAGGTACGGAGGGGGACTGGGATGCCGTCCCCTCCTTCTGCGAAGCAGTCATGCTAGCTAAGGAGGACGCCGGATGCGTGAGGGAACGAACATCCTCACGCCCCAGCCGTCGCGAAAGATACTCCGGGTGTCGGGGATCGCGAGACGATCTCCGTCTACCGGCACCGTAAGCACACGCCTGCGGACGGCGAGCACGGGTAACTCGCCGCCTGACTAGAACTAGACCCGAGCGTACGGTGTGTCACGTTCCGAGCGTTCGCGTTGCGCACGCGCCTCAAGGAGCCGTCTGAGGAGGTCGGGGTCCAATAGGGTGGATGCGGATACGGAGCCGCTGAGGACTTAACGGGTTGCAGGGGCTCCGGTTCGAAGTCACGATGAAACTTGGTATGATTATAATTTAATGTCCTGGGTATCATAATCATAATTTGACAAGGGAAAAAGTACATGCACGAAAAAAGAAACTGAATTATGCGGCTCCATCCCTACACAATTACTGCACTAAACGTAAATGTAAGTTTGTCAAATGTTAGGTTGCCCGCAGTGAACTTTACGGTATAACTGTAGGGCCGATGCATGTTTGAAATTAGCTTCAACCGATATCATTAATGCGAAAATATATTAGTTTCAGTGTTTGTGTGTAAGTTTGTTACTCAATCATATCAAAACCCCTGAAGGGACGGAGATTAAATTTGGCCAGAGGTAGAGTATGGTATGGAGTACCGAGTAATACAAAGGCTGAGTTGGCTGGCTGTTAGTATGTAATGTATGTACGTTATGCCTCTGTATTACCCTTTGAAAAATTATGGCCCAAAACTTTTTCAGGCCAGAATCAAACAATTCTGCCATTGGATAACGTTATAAAACACAAATGTGTACGTAAATTGTAAACATACATAACCCACCCGTTAGCTTCGCCGTAAGCAGGTAAAAAATTTAATACTGCCAAAAATAAGAATTTAATTATGCTCTTGATGGCAACACTGACTTATTATCTATGTGAATCCGCACGCACATGTGACGCAGGACAACTGACAACTTCTCGCTTGCTTGACAGTTGGACAGTTTCATTTTACAATTTACACATTTTATTTTGAATCTGCGCTTGTGTGCGATGTTATCACTTAATCTTTAAACTAATACGATACTTAAGTTTTTGTGAAGTGCATTGTGTTGAAAATTGCCATAAGGACGCAAACATATTCTCAGTCCATATGTAAACATGGACAACTCTGAAAGTAAGAAAAGTAAAAAACAGCGTAAGGTACCTAACAAATCTTTAAGGCAAACATCATCAGAACAGAAAGAAAACGTTCCCAAAAATGAAAAAGGTACAGCTAGTAAAAGTACACCAGATGGTGGAATTGCTAAATCTAAACTGTTGTTAATGAAGAAGAATAAAACCCGTGCAAGAAGGCAACCTAAACATGAACGGATTTGCCCCAATGGTAAGCCTTTACCTTCCTTATCCCAACTGAAGAAATTTTATGAGGATGATGATGATGATAATGATACTGACAATCAAAATAATAATACGACAAATCCAAAACAAAATTCATGTACATCCCCTACACCAGATAAGCTTTTATCAAATTGTGACAACAAAACAATCCAAATATCCCCTTCAACTATAAAAAGAATATCAGAGAAAATGGAGAAATTAATAGACAATATCTCTGATCCCTGTCAACTGCTTGAAGATTACCCTATTTTATTACCCTTGGAACCAATAGATTCACCACCACCACCCGCTATAATACCGCCAAAAAAAAGAAAGAAACCTGAACTTCCATATATTGTTGGTTGCAAAGAACGCCCGCAAGTACCAAGTAAAGCAAGCACAAAGTTTTGTAAAGGTGATAAAAATTATGGTATAACTTCTTCAGGTGCTGATCCAGAAGAAGAGGAACCAAAAAGCAAGAAAGCTAAAAAGTCAATGATTAAAAGTTACTCAAAATCCACTTTCAATGCTCTCAGTGATGAAATTTCAAAAAAGCTGACTGAGAATGAATCGGGTAATGTTAGTGATTGTAGTTCCGATAGTAATAAAACAATAGAATATGATGTAACACCGTATACACCATATCAACCTCTGAAACCTCGGCCATTTTCACCGCTTCCAAGTACTTCCAGAGACAGGGAAACTTTTATAAAAAATGATGAGTTATTTAATGAAAGTTTGAAGGCAATTGATGCAATGGAACAATCATCCCCACTAACAGAAAAAGCCACTGAAAATAGCAATGTAAAATTAGAGGAAACTACTCCAGCACAACAATCTTCTCAAAATGAAGTAGAAATTATAGATATACCATATGACACTATTGTAATTGATGAAAATAGTGATACTTTTTCACAAAATAAGATTAAAAATGAAGTTGAAGATTCTGATTTAATTCAAATACTAGAGCCACAGGCTATCAAAGTTCCTAAAGATGAACAAACAGTGAGTAATTTGACCAATGATGATGATTGTATAATTATTACAAGTGAAACCGTAAATGAGGATTCAAGAGAAACTATAATTATTGAAGATGAATACAGTTGTATCAACGAACCATATCCACTTAATGATGATGAACCATATGATGTTATAAATATAGATGATATACTAAACGAAAATAAATCTATACTTAGTAAATGGAAAAATAAAACAGAATTAAACAAAATAACCACAGTAATTGAAGTTCCGGACGATTATAGGAATACTAGAATGTCAATGACAACTACTGTCACTGATTCTACAAATAATCATCAATCAAATTCACACACTAATCAAAATGAAAGTGTTGTCATAGTAGACTCCCAGAGTCCTCAAACAATAACTGAAGACAGTCAAATTCAATCAACAAGGCTGCAACAGAATGAGCAAACTCAACAAACATTGTCAGAACCAGTTGAAATTATTCAAGAAGTTCCACAACCACAGGAATCAGTATTTAGAAACATACTTGATGACTTCTTTAGACAACGAACACGAAAAGGAAAAACTGGAAGGCCTAATAACACTCAACAATTGGAGAGAATATTTGAATCATTTATAAATACAGTACCAAGTTCTAATAACAGCAATCAAATAGGAACATTAAATATTGTTGATAGTCATACAGCAACCAACAATTTTCCAATTCAAGAAAGCAGGCAAAGAGCTCCTGAAGCCGTAAGCACTCCACCTCAGCAAACCACCAGTACCCCTCAACAACCATCACCAGAACCAAAAAGAAGTTTAGGAGATTGTCCTATTTGTTTGGACTCGCTCACCTCTAATGGAATTGCTTCCACATTATGTGGTCATGTTTTCTGTGTGGATTGTATAAAAACAGCTATTAGACAAAATGGAAAAAAATGTCCTACTTGTCGGAAAGCTCTGAAAGGTCCAAATGGAGGATACCATCTATTGTATTTATAAATATGTGTATATTGTTTTGTTATACAAATCTTATTTCAGATACTTACCAAATATAGCTGGTGTAAGGTTGTCAAGCTTAGACTCTATCTTACTAGTCACATATTATTAATTAATAGTGCCATCAACATTTACACTTATAGGTGATACAATACTTTGATATAATATTGTTTAAAACTTGTGAAGTTTTAAAATTGTAAATATAAAATGTGATGAGTATGTGACTCGTATATGTGTATGAATGTAAGCTTTTTAGTTATAATTCAAATGTTCTATTCCACACAAATTGCATTTATTACCAAATGATACCATGGTCACATGATCGCCAAGAGATTTGTGACATTTAATCTACAAGTGCCTGCAGTATAAGTACCTGGTTAATGATATTTGAAGTAATACATATTTTTTTAAGAACTGATCACTTATGTGTCTTGTTGTTTGTCTTGTTTATCTTGTTCTGAAGAAAATTGGACATTTTTATTATTGGTTGGGCCCATCTGTTTTTCATTTATTAAAATTTATGAATGGCTTCAAATCAACTACAATAGCATGTTGATCATGCTAATTAGTGATTTTCTTTGATTATTGATTTAATTATTGTAAAAGAGGGATTATTAATGTGAAAATTAGTATAAAGAAACATTATTTACAATCAAAAGAATGCTTATGGTGTTTATTCTCTTTGATGTGCATTACCTCAGCAATCATTTAGTTTTACTTAATGAATATAATAATATTAAAGACAAAGGCTTTATAAATAAAAATTATCAAAGTACCTACCTGCTATGTAAACTTAACAATAGTGCCTGTTAAAAAATAGTATAAAGCGACAGATTCTTGCTATATATAAAGGATGATTATGTCAATCACTCTTTATAAAATGATAATCTTAATTTTGTTATTGAATATTGTTATAAAAAATATGTATGTTTATGTAGGTAGTGTGTAGGTTTTTATTGTCATTGTATTATATTTTGATTTAAATAATATTCCTGAACAAGATAATGCGAAAATGTTAAATTCATTTTATATCTTTTAGTTTTAACTTTATTTTAGAATATGATCTAATATTTTTTTTATATTGATTGAAACATTTATCCCATATTGTTCTACAAATTAAAAATGTGATATGCATCTAAATTCCTTTTATTTGTATTATTCAGTTTCTTTTACTCTTGTTAACTCGTCGAGTACCGTCATTATAGACACGTAATAGGTTGCGGTCACTGGTGACCGCTCGATGTTTGACAGCTTAATTCCTAAACTGGTAACCTCAACAGCTTTTATATTAGGAGTTCAGATCTTTCAATAAAATTAAAATAGGCAGTAATAGAGAAAGAATTTATTTTAAACAGAAAAAATCTGTATTTGCTCATGCTAATCTCTGAAACTAATAGACAGATTTTAATGAAACTTTTTTATTATATAGCTTATATGCAATCCTTCTCTAGCTCATAAGTAGATAAAAAAAATTTGCCATTATGATAAACACCTATAAAGTTGAAATAAAATGATAAATTACCATTTTTATACCTCTTTATTTAAATACATATTATTATTTCTTTATAAGAATGAAAGCTGATATAAAAATCATTCAGCTCAAATATTGGTAAACCCAATACCCAATTTGGATTAATGAAATAATATAAAAATGATACATTTTGACATTCTGAATCAAGATTACATCTCAAACAAATCCATAAACAGCAACTGATGAGCGTCAATAAATTGATGAACTTTACACCAAGGTCAACTATACATATGCAAATTGCAGGCTTTCTAGACCACATAATAAACATTTAAAAATATTAAAATATTATTTGATAACATAAAAGTATCTGAAGATACATAATTAATATACATTACAATATAAAAATAATATACATAATTATATAATTACATTATTGACTTAAATTTATAGAGATTATACTAAGATCCAAAATAAGCTATAGGTACAAAATTTTCATGTTGGTTTCTCAGTGCCATTAACATCAGAATGTAAGTGTTCAATAGATGCAGAAAGTTGTTCAAGACTCTGAACTAGCTGAGCCATTTTATCCCGAGATGCAGAGTTTTCAAAACTATCCTCAGTAGGCTTCTCAACATCAGCACATAAACGAAAATGTAACCGTGCCAAGTGCTCCTGTTGATCTCTTATATTTATCATTTGTTCCATACTACAACCTGTACCAAATGCACTCAGCTTACCAGTGTGGAAGTCATCTAACAATTCTAACAGAGCCTTTTCCATATTTTTGACATCTGGTGTTTCTTTTGGAATAATCTTTGGTTTGTTAGTGGATCGCATTAAGTTATTGTCTCGATTTATTCGATTTTGTTTCTCACTGACGTATGATATCTTTGTCGATTCATTTACACTACTGTTGCCTACACCAGACACAGTCTGGGCCAGATTCTTTGATGTCAGACTGGCAGCGCCACTTGATAATTTATTGCTTGTAACAGGTGATGTTGCCGCATGATGCACTTTCTGCTCATCTTCTTCCACCTCATTCTGCATAAGTTGTTGTGTTTCGTTGGCTTCTTCCAAATGCAAGCTCATGTAGACTTTTGAAGGCGTATTATGCAGTTGAGTATTAAGAATAAAGAGACAACCGTTACTGCTTTGGTTTACACAGTTACTTTAGTTTGTATTTAAATTTTATTTGTAAATACTTAATACGAAACAATCTATAGGCAACCATTTAAAATTAATATCAACAATGACAAATTCGACTCAAATTTCTCGTGTTTTGACTGATGAGTTTGACATTGACAATGACAAAAACACAACAGGGTTGACAGCACCATGGACAAAACTTCTTTCGGATTTTTCTTATCCCCTATGCTTACTGTGCACTGATATGATAAAGGTAAAGATATGAAATACTTACGAAAAAAACGTCCTACCTAAACTTCACTTCTTATTCTATAATGGCGTATAGAACTAGAGATGTGACTTTTGAAACAATAGAAGTATTGATATTTAGGTATTGGTTTTAATAATAGATATATATAACGTAGATGTCGGACTAGATCCACTAGAACGGTAAAATCATAAACATACTGTTGTTTCTGGAGAAATTAAGCAATTCTTTAGCTACTAAATTATGTATGAAATAATTTGATACTAGTAATCTGAATAAATTCTACAACGATTTCTTTGAGATGTTAAACAAGGAATTGAATAATATTCTGCCAATAAAAGATATTCATACCAAATTTGTATTTAGATAGGGCGATTGGGCAATTGTAGGTATTCGTAAGAGTAGGGACAGACTTTTCGAACTTTATGGAATGAAACCGTACAAAAACGACCCCCAATTTCACTAGTATGTAACATCTTATTCAAAAACCTTCAGAATAATATGCAAAGTCGCGAAACGTCTTTATATTAGTAATAAAATAAGATCATCTGAGGAAAAGATAAAAACTACTTGGAAAGTTATACACAACAAAACTGGTAGGAAAAGATTAAGAAACTCAGATCTTAATTTAAATACCGAAAGGGGACAGATTTCATCAAACGTAAATGTAACCCAGGAAATTGAATTTTTTTTACCAACATTCCTATCATAACAACTGAACATTTAAATTCATCAGCAAACCTCTCTGTAACTTTGCTTAAGAACAACATAGAATCATGTCAACACGACTTTAGTTTTCGATATACGAATCCTCTAGAAATTATAAAAGTTTTTAAAGAAATTAAGACCAAATCAACGGAGGATCTTTGGGGAATGTCGGTAAAAATTTGCAAGTCACTGATTCAAACTGTAGCGCCCTAACTGGCAGTGATTTTCAATAAATGTATAGATGACAGTGGTTTCACTGACCTAATGAATTATAGTAAAGTTATCCCACTATTTATAAGTGGTCACACTAAAGAACCTAACAACTATAGGCCAGTCTGTTTTGCCGGTTCTCAGCAGTCCTTGAAAAGTTGATGCTGTCTCGGATGCTTCATCATTTTAATAAACATTCCATCTTTCACCAACAACAATACGGTTTCACTAAAAGTCGTTGCACAACTGACGCCGGTGTCACTTTGATTAAGGAAATATTTGGTGCTTGGTTGGAAACACAGGATGCTATTGGTGTCTTTTATGACCTCTCAAAAGCATTTGATTGCGTTGACCACGAGACACTTGCTGAAATTAGATCACTACGGAATAAGAAACTCTGCGGTCCGTCTGTAGTGTAGACAGACAGAAAGACAGAAAGTATTAAATTTTATAAAATTTAGTCATTTAATACTTTCATTCTAATGTAGACAATCAATTTTCCATAGGGCATCAAGCATTTCTTTCTTCATTGAAACAAAGTTTTTCTTGTATAGAAACACTATTTTTATGGATTGCCAGTATGCATTTGTGAGCACCATGTTAGACTATAAGATTTTTTTATTTATATTATTTTAGTAAGGTTTGTAATTAGTATCTATAAATATTGCGTACCTAAAGCGTGTCTTTGCATTGTTCTCACATATACGCACAGTATTGGAATATGTATCAGAGACATTGTAGAATAAAATATTTTAAAAATAGTAACGAATTGAGTTTATTGCTCGTTCTTCTCCATTCAAATCTACATTTTGGAATGAGCACCTAGTTTCACCTAGCTTTACTGACGGACTGACTGACTGACTATTATTTATTTTGTATTTGTCGACGTTTCAAAATTAGCAAATAATCGTGAAATTAATTGAAATAAATGCTTGACTTTCTTTTTACATAGGTCTCTTTGCCCGAGCAGAAAGAGACAACACATTATTGCCATTCTGGCAATAATTTTGTAACGTCATCAAAAATATCTAGTCGTGCCGAATTGGCTGTCTTGTCAGTTACTGTTATCAGTGCATGTCAGTGGTACGTCAACTGTTAAAGCACTGGTTTTTTTTTATATGGGGGGAAAATATCGAATGACTGCTTCCGCCTGGGTGAGGCGGGAGGGAGTGTCAGACTCTTACTGACATGAAATATCTATCTATATCATATCATCGCTATATGCAAAAATTTGTTGGAAAATACGTTTTTATTCGACATTTATCTAATTTGAGTTAGCCGAAAAGTTGTCCATTCTTAAGCACAACGAATCTTAAAAGACTGTGTTGCAAGTTGTTGTTTAAAACTGTACATAAAAACTAAACAAATGTGTCAATGACTTGATTTGTCAATTTCAACACACACAGGGGAAGAGACAGGTATTTTTAACAAATTTATAATTTTGTCAATTTTCCTTGCTTTAAAGGTCTTTAGCATTATTAATTATACAAAATCAATTAATGTATTTGTAACATTTTGTATTTTGTTTAGTAATTAAATGTTGTTACTGCGCTCCAGTATAGATTCAACCTCCATTGTCCATTTTTTCTAGCCACATCCTCAATTTATTGTGGCACATGTTTCGCTCGAATACCGACAAAAAATTAATAGTTTCAACATTCAGTGCATTTACCTTTAGTCACTGTATCTTTCTCAGGTTTCGACTGCGAGTTAGCTTCGGTACATTCCGATTAATATCGGGACGCTGATACGACATAGTATTTTGCATAGTACATGCAATATTTTGGATTTTGAAAAATTACTTCTTTTGATAAAGTGTTAATCGATACAAGTGATAATGGGTGAACCGACCCTTGAGCCAGAGTTAACTAACCGGCTAACCCGATTCCTCCACACGGGTAATGAGTTTCCTAGGTACTATCCTGGGTGCTGGACCACTCATAAGTACTTCGAGGAGGACAAGCTCCCTGTTCTCCCGCAGATTGCTGAAATACACCCCGGGAACACTGAAGCTGTTGACATCATCCTTAAGGTAATTTTTAATATTATAATTACAGAGAAGGTAATTTTGTAATATTTGTGTTATTATGTGTGCAATTTAACATTGTTGATTTTGATGACAGTTCAATAGTTCATTACCATAATATTTTTGCAAGGTATGTTTAGTGTTGATTATAGTTACTTTAAATCTTTTTTACTTGGAAACAATTACAATTTTGTAACAGAGTAAAAGAAAATCTTAAGAGCCATTGTCCCAGCGACATGGTATAAAAAAATACCATTGTTAGAACACAGACCATGTGGTATTTTTCTTTGGTGGTGTGTGGAAGTTATTTGTTAATTAAAAATAAAACTACTGATTTAATAATTTTATTCTGAGAATTTAAATTTCATCCGTTTTTATTATTGTTATGTCAAATTTTCTCTTAACTCGTCGAGTACCGGTTTTGCAGACACAATTATAGAACAATAGGTTGCGGTCACCGGTGACCGCTTGGTGTTTGACAGTTTAAATAATGTACTTAAATGCTTAAACAAGTTTTGTTGTCAATCACAAGGAGACCTGACCAAGACAAGGGGTACTAACCCCTGCGGTCTACCCAGTGATAAATACCATTAAATTAGTTTTTTAAATCTACTTTCTTTGTTGTTACCACCTTTATTAATAAATCGGAGAGGCCTTATTTATATGTATCATGACAATAGATAGGATACAAGTTTCAAATCATGAAACTTTAGAAATACCTTCATTATAAAAGAAAAAATTACTCTGTACTTACAAAGCATATTAGTTACTTAAAGATTGTGTTTTTCTGTCAATCAGGCTAAAAACATCAACAAATATTTTTATATGATCATGAGTCGGTCTGGATTTTATGCATTATTTATGAGTTTCACTCTGCATTACTTGAGAGGCTAACAAATTTATTGCTTTTAGGCAAGCCAGGATGGATTATACACTCGATTTGATGCCATCGCATTTGCACTGGCTAAATGTCTGCAAATAGGAAACAATACCATGAAAGAAGCTGCCTACAAAGCTGCAATAAAAATATGTGTCACTCCAGAACAAATGATGCTCTTCACCAAGTTCACACGGCTGTTGAAAACTGGTAAGATGGTTTGTGATAGCTAAATTATATTTTAATAATTATTAACCTATAGTATAACTTAAATTCATTACATTTTGCCCAATCTGAGTTATTTTAAATATTAAAATCTGTTATTTTGTTTTTTAAACGAGCAGACGGATTACCTAATGGTAAGTAATCTGCATCCGCTATGAATACCCGAAACACCAGGAGGTCTACTCTGATTCGACGAAAAACGAAGTTTCGGACGAAACTTCGAACATTACCTACCACAATGGCATTTATTACGAACGAAAAAGGAATGAAACAAGCCAGAAATTAGTATGAGATGTACTGTTTGACGTCGATATTTTCGGAACCTTATTCTAATTGTACAATCCGCACGAACGAAAATTCGAGTTTGACAGATTATTCTTCGGACGTTTAATGTCATTTCGACGAAACCAAAATAGTTATCGTTTGATTTTCGTTTGGGTTAAATTTATTGAAAAATGAAGGAAAGTAATTATAAGTCTTCGTTTTATCACGGTTTCTTTGTGTGGGCAACACGTAGGGCACCAAAGGAACTACTTAAATGACGATATAAAATCAATGTACAGTCAGCTCAAATAGTTTGTTAACACGAACCTATATATTTTATATGTCTATGAGAGTTAGTAACATTTAGGGTAATCAAATACTTATTTGAATACCTTATGTATTGTACATAAATGTTTCATGTGTAATGTTTTATTTTAAAACTTATAATACCGCTAGAAAAATTAACTTAAGTATTGCTAGTATATATTTTCGCTATTCTTTCACATCTATTAATATACCAATATTTATAGATAAGATAAATTCTTTCAAAATATATTGTTAATCATCATAACTCGAAATAATTTAGTCTCTTCAACTTCTCATGTAGACATTTATAATTTTTAAACTGACTGTACTAAAATAATACGAATTAATTTGGTTGTCATTATTTTATACATAAATGTCAATAAAACAACATTCTAAAACTATTTAACTTGGTCGTATAATAAATTTCTCAAAGGAGGTTCTTATCCTGTTTAAGATTTTCCATCTTAAACGTTAATATTAAAAGATTATTCATGATTTTCTTGATGATTATGTGTGCTAAGCCTAATTACTTAAAATAAAATTTTATATTTAATTTCGAATCTAAACCTACTTATTGCATATTTATTTATCTTCACTTCATTCGTTCATTGTAGTTCACGAAAGTTGTCTATGGTTCCGAAAACGTTGTTTGCCGCCGCAAATCAAACGAAACTTCGCATTCGAGAACCGGAGTAGACCTCCAGGGGTGTTACAAGCGCGTTACCGGTATTTGGGGATTAGGTATTTGAGTATTATTGGGGATTCAGAGATTGGGGAAGAGGAGGGGTAATTGGGTCTCCGGTAACCTCGCTCACATGACGAAACATAACGCAAATGTTGTTTCACGTGGGTCTTCTGTACGCCCGTGGTTAAAATGGCTGTTAAAATCCACATAAAACTGGAATGTCTCGCACATGTTGCAAGTAATCATAGTTTTTTATGTGTAGAGTTTGTCATAAACTGCAGCATGGGATAGAAAGTAGGGATGATAAAATAAGAGATAAATGTGTTATTCCAGACCATAATCTATCCCTATTGAACTTTAAAATTTCACCCTAACCCCTTTAGTCATTTTGACGTAATCATGTAACAAACGAACACACGAACCTTTATGTTTATAATAGGTATTATTAAGGTTTGTCTAATTATAATATTATGTCCAAAGGTAATGGCCGTGGGTGGTGCCGGACTGTCAAGGAGTGGTACAGTCGTAAAGATCCGATGGATCTTGCGAAGGATGTTACGAGAGTTCGCGCACGCCACGGACGATCTCACAAGACTCTCCTAAGAAAATGTCATCTCAAGGTTGCGGCTGAAGATCATGGTAAGATATGGTAGCCATAAGTGTGCCTGCTGAGCAAAGGATCTTTGGTTGATTCCTGAGTAGAACAACATGTTTTTATTTCGAGAATTTCTTGCCAGAGACACTTGAAATTTGGCGCTTTTAATAAGCAACTGATTTAGTATTTTATATTTCTAATGACGGTTGGGGATTCTAATTTACCCTATAATCTGGTGTCGTTAGGACGTCGACACCCTGTATATTTGATTTTGTATGAAAAGTAGTCTCTAAAAATCGGAAATAAGGTCTATAATGGAGTTAGTGGAGATTGATCAGATATTATGTTCCCCAGGGTAATGAGAAAAGAACTAGCGTCTGACCTTGACCTTGGTACAGTCGTACACGTGTTCCGTTACGAATTATAGCTAGCATTGAATAAAGTTAACCCTTTACATTTAAGATTCCATTATTAAGTCTGCCGTCGGCCTGTTTATTTGTCATTAGGGTGTATCTCTTGAATCGTGGTAGTGGAAATTGTCACAAAGGACGTTTTTTGCTAATATAACAACACAACCAGATTAAAATAACTATTAAATGGAAGCACAACGACCAAGTTTTTTTTACATAATAGAATGGAACCCTTCGTTTGCTCGTCCATCACGCAATTGACTTATTTTTACAACTATGGTAATAGAATATGGAGCCCTGCTAAAATATAGTAACAATACCTAATCTATTTTGAAAGTCAATAAGTAATATCGTATGTTTGTAAAATGTCTTACATACTTCTTTGTTTTTAGCTCGTGATGCAGTTGTGAAGTACTCTATCTATGGCCTCAAGCACGCGAAACAATTAATCGGAGACAAACCGGCGACAAAAGAAATCTTTGATTACATCCAGACAGTAGAGGACATGAGGCACTGTGAGGATCCAGTCGCAGCCGCGGCGATAGCCACTCGGAACCAATTCACACTTGATCATGTGCCTGGTCATTTGTTGACTTCCCAGGAGGTATGCAGTACTTTACAGTAGCATGTTGTTTCGACTTCACTGACTTCGAATTCCAGGCTCTATTGACTCTGCGCATTGACACTAGACCCACAAAGAGTAATATTATCAATCTACTCTAATTAAAGGCAATTAAATCACTATAATCTAGCTATATTTATTCAAGCATTTGCTAAACTATAACTACTGAATGTCGACCTCATCATTCGCTTGAAAAATTGACGTGTAAAAATGCTGCTTTATAGCCTATTTGCAGAAATAAATTCAATTGTTTCACTATTGTGATAGGTTTGGGATGCAGTGCTGCCTCAATTCAGCTTGGAGGAATTACTCCAAAACATCCAACGCATCCACAACATGGGCTTCTTGTCTAGCGAGTCCACCACCACCTCGATCCTGGTGTCTCTACTGAGCAACCAGGACAAGATCAAGAAGTCCAAGGTGACATCATTGGAAGTTTATATCACGATGGCTAATTATGCTAAGAAGTCGAAGTAAGTTCAAACTTTATAAGAAGAAATTGTTTACACACGGCTGCACATCTAGTTGACCAGAACCAGTATAAAATGATCATTGAATGCGCAGAAAAATTTTACATATTGAGATCATTATAAACTGGTTTTGTATAGCTTGATGTGTGTACTTGGTTTTCAATCAAGTTTATCTTTTATGACAAAGGATGAGTAGTTACATTATATAATGTAACGGGAATATTCCCGTTACTATCACTGTTGAGTTTAGTCACAACTTTTGTCGAATGATTTAAAAGGTCATGCTCAATATTTATTGTTAAGTAATATTTTAAAATAGAGATCAATTTATAGAGAATTATTTAGTTTGGCCACTTTTTGGATTCTCACATTTGTTTATTTATTTATTTATTTGTTGTAAAGACTGTTAAACAAATCTTGTGTTAAAAAAATTATGTCTTATCATCGTTGTATTTTATGTTTAAACAAAAAGGTAATATTATAAAATATTACTATCTAATATTGTACCTATTTATCACAATCAGGCCTATGAAATACGAGAAAGCAAAGGTAGCATTGGAGAGGGAAGCTAGACGCCGCACACGTCAGATCTTTGACAGCAAGACGGAGACGTGGGAGTGGACCACTACGAAGCGACACCCGAGAGAGGTCAAAAATTGGGGTGAGGTCAAAAGCATACTGCTTTACACAATAATATAACTATGTAATTAGAACAGAAAACAACACATAAATGGCATATAAACTTCAGGCTCAGATCTATCTACTGATATACCTACTGGTGGCAATTTGAATCCTAATGAAGGTTTTAGGCGTAATTTAGTATAGTATTTACAACATAAGGGACCAGTGTCCGCTATGTTATCAGAAAACTTATAATTTTACATTGTACAGGCATCGACCAGCCACCAAATCCCGCAGTGCTGACAGCTCTCAACAAGCTGGTCGATCTCACCTGGGTACTGACCCCGGCAACTAATGCTCGATATCTCATAACGATGGACATGAGACACCACATGTTCAAAGGTATGTATTGTTTAGTGTTTGCCATAATATTTGTTTTCCTCTATGGTTTTTAATATTTTTGTCGAAGTTGTAACCTTTATAAAATATACTTTAACGCGAAAACGTATCCTGAAATCAATGAAGTCAAATAATGTAATGAATAAAAAAAATCTTTGAACAGGTCGTCACTTCTGCAAGACGTTCACAGCCACAGCGAAGAAAGGTAAGAAGGCAGCCGCGAAACCAGCGCCAGCGACTGGTGGCGGCGACGCTGATACTGAGAAGAAGAGCAAGAAGCATCTGCTGGCAGAATGCTTCTACAACATGAATATTACTCCCGGACATGCAGGTATGTACACAATATGTATAACATAACCAACGTAATAACCTAAAACATCACCTACACAAGAAATATACCTAAAATAAAAGGAGAAATAATTCAATATTTAAAATATTTTTTATTTCTCAGCGATTGTCCTGGCCCTGCAGCTGCTGAAGCGCGAGAACCACGTTGATTTGGCCGTTTTCACTGAAGAAGGAATACAGATAGTCAGTGTTGAACGCAATTTTAGCAACATCGAAGAGGCTGAGTTCTTGTTCAGAGTAAGTTTATCTTCTCACCAATATAATAAAATATTAATATGTTGTTAAATCCCAATTATTTATATACTTATTGTAAATTAATTCGTCTTTACTTTGTCTAATTGATACCATTTTTTTTACAGAATGCGAACTTAGGTCGTGTGCAGCTAGATGCACCCATCAACTATGCTATAAATAACCATAAGAAATACGACGTATTTATCAACATGGTGGATCGCACTACGCGCTACATGGAACTGGACATTATCAACCGCGGGGGTCGTGGGCCGGGTGGTCGCTACGGACCACCGCCGCCCGCCACCAAAGAAATACCCGACCACTGCCCCGTACGAGCTCTGCAACGATACCGTAACTCTGAGGGCATTTCCGAAGCCAAGTACGTCACACATTTCATTGTAAATGTCTCTATGTAGAAAAGTCTGAATATGTTGTTTGTGTAATCATTCATTCAAAGTTGTTTGATTCATGTGTGCCAAGATTTATAAAACAACACACACAACAAAAGAACAAAAGTTGCAGATCATACATAATTATATAATATATAAGTTTCCTGTGAGATATTCAAAGATTGTTGTAATGTATTGATTTGTTGTATAATATTGAAATTCTTATAATAATATTCTCTGTTACAGGTTGGTGGTGATGAGTTTGGCTTCTCACAAAGTGTGTACTACGGATGGTACCCACGAGGGAGTTCTTGACATTGTTGGTGTCGACGAGTATGTTCCCAAAATCCTTGACGCTTTCGTACTCGGCCAGTTCAAGTGATTGCTGCTAAAAATAAACCCAAAACGAATGCTTCGAAGTTTGTCAATTTCAAAGGTCTCAATCGATAACGACCAAAACCTCAGTATTTACAATTAAATTGTGTCCATCAAAAATCATTACCACCTTGTGTTCCGAGGCTGATACAATTGATAAACGGAACTGATATTTCTAATAGAAATCTGAATGTAATTCTGATTGTTTAGAGATCTTTTTTACTATATTTGCATGTTTTTTAGTGTTAATTTTGTTTTATTCGCTTACAAGGTAGTTATGAGACAGTTTCGTATAAAATAACTGTTTCTTTTAACCCTGATTTGGATCTCTGCTTATGAATTGGTAGGCGCACTCGAATTAGTTTTAAGTTACAACACGAGTGTACACTCAGTACATATTAATTGGCGCACAGCTACAGATATATCGTATTACCAGGGAACAGTTAAATTAATGTTAACCGTGGTATGATATCGACGTTATTGCTTTAGAGTTTAGCTTATAAGTTTACTTATTGACACGTGTGTTGCTTGTTAGCGTAGACTTAATTTAATGTTTACTAAATGCGACTTGGCATCCGCCAAACTACGGGAGCGAGTTTAATGCTTAACGTTATATTTAGACCAGGATAATCATTCTGCATAATACAAGTATTTTTGAGAAATTGTCATCTAAACTTTGTTTGGTAGCAGAACAAGTTGTTTTACTGAACTTTTATATGTTCATTATTTATTTATTCTTCCCTTTTATATGATAACGAAGTGTGTTACTTTAGATATAGATAAGCTTAATACGTATAGCCTAAATATTCGTAACAGGGTCTTTTTGGTTAAACAAAAATTGGCACCTGGCGCTCATTAATCAGTTATGTGTTCAATAAACAATAACTCGCGAAGGGGGCAAACATTGACAAAAAGGGGAAATGTCTTTTATTTAAAATCTATAAAAGAGTGTATTTCACACAACTGTCGTACTGCACCTCCCGTAAACAAATGTTTGAACGCCAGTACTTTTGCAGTAGTTGTTGAGTTTCAAATTTTTATTTATTTCTGTTTAGACCATTGACAGGTCACTAGTGAGGTTGTATGTAACGTTTTTGTATTTGCCAAAGTAATTATGCATTTGTAATTTTATTCAAAGAGTACTGGCCCGCAAACGTGTATTAGCATAGAAATTAATTATTATAGCATATCTTGATAATATAGTATAATGAAATCAGGAGTGTGCTCGTGTATTTATTTTGTGGAACGTGTCTCATTTACATTTGTTGGGATACAATAGTCACTCACGTCCTGAGAGAAATAATCAAATAAACAGACGGGCACGCATCTGCTTTCATGTTATGTAGCTAATAGGTGAAACCGTTTCAGAATATTGGTTACTTTTGTACTAATAGATATGAGCGGACTTTTCAAAATCTGTGATCACTTGGTACTCTCTCGGGTTTAAGTAATTTTTATACCTGTAAAAGTTAATAAATTCAAAACTTAGATAAAGGAACTCGAAATTGCTAGATATGCTTTTTTATTATATGTATCACTATATTGTTGAGTAATATACAATGTAAGAATAAACTGTTAGTATTATGGTGGTCGAGAATCATTTTACTTTATGCTTTTATTGTGATTGATATCACATTAACCTTTGTTGTAGTTATCATAAAGTTTATTTTTGGACCATCACAGGTACTTATTTATTATTTTGTGATTCGACACATCTGTTTCCAGTGTATGGTTCGCATCTCAAAAATAGCATTCTGTGATTTATAATGCCTTGGCAACTCTGCACTTTGGTGATATTATTTTTAATCGGACTCGTTTTCTTTGAAATCCAAAATGAAGTTGTTAAATTTGAAGAAAACAGCCGGTTCTAGTTTTAATAATAGCTTTATAGTATTATGACTACAAACCATAACTTTACTTTGTTGTTAACTGAAAGCAAGTACACGAGTACTTTATGTTTGAATCACGTGCATATTATACGAAGCCTAGTGCATTCTTAGACTCACTGACAAATAAAAAAGGTCCGTCCTGACTACAAAATGTCTGTTGTATTTCAATACCTAATGTGCTTTTAGCGTTAAGTTAAAGTAGTACATTTATAATCATATTATTTTAACCCATTCACAGCAGCATATCAAAAAAAGCACCTTAAACCTAATGAATAACAAAATGTATAACATTCGAAAAATGTACTTGCATGTTTGTTTTCACGTCAATAAATTGTTTAAGTAAGCATAATTCTTGGCTTTTTACTTTATGCTATGATACAGGTACTTACCTAAGCTAAGTAAATATCAGTAATCAGAACATTAAACTTCTCCTAATTTTAAGTTGCGGTGATAATTAACCCACAATGTTTGACCTGAATCCCTGAATCCCCAACAATCCTCAAATTCCAAATCTCCAAAAGGGCGGTAACGCACTTGTTAGGCCTCTGTGTTCCAGGAGTCCATGAGCGACGCCGATTGATAACCATCAGGTGATCCGTCTGCTCGTTTACTGGCTTATATAAAAAAAACCGGCATGAGCTAACACAGATAATAATTTATTACACTTCTGCTGGACACATCTATTGGCCCACCTTAGAGTTTAGGTTTCGATGGCCCCTACCGAAATGATTGCTAGATTGAACAAAAACTGTTGATGCAGTTTTAAACTTGATACATTTTACCATCTTTTTCGTAATCATAATCATTTATTTATTTGTAACATAGGTGGTATTATATGGATGTTCATAAGTTAATAACAGGTTTAGTTACACTATGTTTCGCCTTACTTGGCGTACAAATATTAATATATAATATTTTAATTGAATTATTACAAAGAAACAAAGGTTAATTAAAGTCAGGAATGTCAATTTAAAAATCAAGGTCATATGAAATTCGATCGAATTGTTTTAAACTGTCAAACACCAAGCGGTCACCGGTGACCGCAACCTATTGTTCTTTAATTGTGTCTATATTGACCACTATATTCCGTGATATTGACGGTGCTCGACGAGTTAAATTTGAATTCAGAATACCATATGACATGGAGCTTCTGGACGTTTCTAGAAGCTTTTTAAGTATCATGTTTGACGTCAAGGAAACGCGGCGATACCGTTGCGAGTCGCCGCGGAATCGCCGCGATTCCGTAACGACTCGCGACGATACGCGGCGGAACTATCGCTCGTTCGTAGAGATTATCCGACGATATAAGGGCGGACTCGTCGCGATTCTCTCGCTCGTGGAGACAGCGCCTTAACGAGAGGCAATGCTGAAATGACGCTGCGTCTCTCAAGCCACTCCTCAAAGAGAGGACTCCTTCTGCGAAGCAGTCATGCTAGCCGAGGAGGAGGCGGAACGCGTGAGGGAACGAACCTCCTCACGACCCGGCCGTCGCGAGAGACACTCCGGGCGTCGGGGATCGCGAGACGATCTCCGACCACCGTAAGCACGGGCCTGCGGACGGCGAGCACGGGTGACTTGCCGCCTGACCAGAACCAGGCCCGATCGTACGGCGCGTCGCGTTCCGCGCGCGCCTCAAGGAGCCATCAGACCACCACAGATGGGGCCTAACAGGGCTGATGCCGATACGGAGCCGCGGAAGACTTAACTGGTTGCCGGGGCCCCGGCTCGAAGTGCTGGAGTAGGAACGAGGTGGTTTTTAGTCAGTAAGAGTCTGACACTCCCTCCCGCCTCACCCGGGTGGGAGAAGTCATTGGATGATTTTCCCCCTCAAAATAAATAAAAAAAAAGACAGTCCATGAGCCACCGCCATAAGCAACCCTCTCTTCAAAGCAGCACTCTCCCTTACGTCGGTAGGCCTTTTTCCTTCCATCATTGCCATGAAACACAATTTTAGACTCATCAGAAAAGAGTACACGGCTCCAATCTTGCTGTGTCCAATTTAAATGACTGCGTGCGAAATGAAGGCGCGCTGTTCGGTGGGCTCGCGTTAGTTTGGCTCCCATTAGCTGGCTTGTGTGGTACCATATTGCGTTCTTTTAACCTTCTCCAAACAGTTCGAGCGCTCACAGATACTCCGTGGAAGTCGCGAAGTTGGTTTTGTATCTCAATGGAGGTAAGGTGACGATTTCTCAAGCTGATCGTCATGATGAATCGATCCTGCCTTTCAGTTGTGACCCGAGATCGTGGCCTTCCTTGGCGACGAACAAATCCGCCAGTCTCTAGGTACCTCCGATAAACATTTCGGACCGCAGATCGCCTTAAATTAAGTTGAGCACTCGCGTTTCTTTGGCTGTGTCCGGCCTGAATAAGTGCCACACCTTGGGTGGTGACTTCAGGTGAAGTATCCATAGATTATAATCTATAATCATTATTGATAGAACCTCAGCTTAATGTTAAGAATAAGTAATGTTTGTTGCAAAACGAAAGATATCCAACACTTTTTCAAGAATTAAATCCAAGTAAACCAATAAAACCAAGTTTTCTTAGTATTCGATTGTTTGATATCAACAAACAGGCTCCAAATTGTCTTTTGTTTCTTTAAATTCTGTGTTCGAAATTCAAAAAAGGCTATTGAATAAAATTGTGAATGTGCCAGGTTCAAAACTGCATAAAAACTTTTTGCTCGACCTAATATAAAATTTTAGTTAGGACCAAACGAAACTGAAAATACAAGGGCCAATAGATGGGTCCAGAATTGTATATTTTAGATATTTTTAACGTGAGTATCATTGTCGAACTGTAATCATCACTGTTGCACTTGCATGTATGTATGGACATTGTTATAACACCAAAAAGCTTGGTAAGTGTCTGGAGTGGTTTGAAAACCTGTTGCAAAAATAAAACGTACGGTGGGTAATCGTAGTGTGCACGTGTGAAGACAGCATTGTTACGGCTCCTGCGCAACGAACTACAAAAATAGAGCTCGCTAATGGAGAGATGTCAATGTTCGTTAATACCTAGTGCTCAGATCGGTATCCTTGAACACATCTTGAATGTTAAAATGTGTTATTTTTTTTCTCTAGGCCATTACCTACCTGGTAGATAACTATGATGCATCTTGTCAATGGAACACGCTTACCCATAAGCAACCTATTCACTCGAGCCTTGACACCCACTGCACCAGGGGGCCATCTTAGACTACGCTGTGGCCCTTGGACACACAATCATTCGGGGCCCTTTTGGAAGACTTCGTTGTTACATCGTTGCCCCACACTAGGATTTTCTCCTGTATTGTGTTGTGGGTGCATTTGCAAACATATTAGTTGCATATACATCACACCCACCCAGACCCGAAACAACAATTTGTCCCTGAAATCTGAATCCCCAACAATCCTCGAATTCCTAATTCCAAAAGGCCGATAACGCACTTGTAACGCCTCTAATGTTCCAGGTGTCCATGGACGACGCCGATTGCTTACCATCAGGTGATCCGTCAGCTCGTTACCGGGTTATACCATAAAAAAAATCACTCAAAGATTTGTTCCGTGTGAAAATCGAACCCGCTAAACGTTGCTGGCGGCCGCTTGCCACGCTACGTGTAGCGGGTGTGTGTCGGTTAGGTCGTAGAAATTTTCGGTCCTTCGGGGCCCTTCGCTTGTTGTGACGATGATGAATTCGACCCCAATAAACTGAACATGATTCGATTCTTGACGTTCGATGTGAATAGACGTGCATACTAGAAATATTGAATCAAAGCAATAATAGTGACCTACATTATTATTCTGCTTATTGTTATACCTCGTTATAAATAATGGAAATACAAACTTAGTTGTTTCAAAGATGGATTTAAACCCGAGTAAGCTGGCTTCCTGTACTTCACCATTAAAGAGCAGCCGTAATTCTGACTTCTCGATAGAAGCTGTGTCGACGCCCGATATTCAAACATTGAAGACCTGTTACATGAAGTTTGCACTATTGCCACAGAGGGCAAACTTAATTCGGAACAAAAACTTAAGATATCAAATCTGAGCCGAAAAATAGGTGCTGATGTCTCGCAAATGGCTGTCTTATATCAAGCTCTGAAGCAGCAAGCCCGTATAGCCGTTAACATTATAGATGAGATGAGAGAAAAGCAGGA